AACGGCAATCCTCTTAATCTCGCTCTTCTCTCTCTTAATGTATCTCTTGAGAAGGACTCTTATGGACTTGTAGCCAGATCAGTGGTAGACTACATAATTGCTACAAAACGTTTTAAATTTTTAAGCTAACCATCCAAATTTGTTGTGATCTCTACACTGTTTTTGCGCTTTCGCTTGGCGTCTATGCAGTGCCTCAAACTTTTAGTGTGCATCATTTTATTCTTCTTGTTGTTCATCCTTACATTTTTTTTTCCTTCTTTCCCTCCTATTTTTATTTTTTCTTGCTGTTTACATGTAATAGCTTATAACATTTACCATGTCATTTTCCTCTGATATAATGGCCTAGGCCGCATCTGTGTAAAGTGACCATTCTTATTTCTCTCTTGAATAATAAAGTTTAAACTAACTAACAATTTACATTATCTTTTAAATCATTCCACTGCGTTTCTTCTCGCAACTCTATTGAACAATTCAACCAACATTCATCGAACAGTGCTTCGTCATAATTAAATGTACACCAAGGTTGAAAATTAGCTTGAAATGTGCTTGTCATTATAACATTTTCTGCTGGTATGCCAATATATCGATCAAGCCAAACAGTCAAATGATCGGAAAATCGACTAATATCACAGTCATCATTCCAGCAGGAAGCAAACGCTTGAAAGTCATCAGTAAAGTGAGACTGTAATCTGAAGAGTAACGTCAAAACACATTTCGATGTAGGTCGTTCCAAAAAAAGAGTCGTGCAATATTTATAGAAGATAAGAACAGAGTTGGCAATAAAAGAAACAAATTCTACTCAATCTCACTAAAAGAAATAACAGCTACTTTTAACAAGATTTTGAAGAGATCGATGAAATATTTGTTAGAAGTTTCTATCATGTAAGTGTATTCAAAAATTTCTCTTGTTGACGATAGACTTGGAATAGAATCAATTGATACCTTTTAAATTTAAATTTACCAAGATTTTTGTTATGTGGTAATATCAAAGGTGTGGTATTAATCAGTATGGCAATTACTGAGATACACGTGCGATAGTTTCGCATAAGGAGGTATATTGTCAGTGTACTTTTACTACCCATAGTAGCTCTTGACATTTTTTTCCAAAGTGCTTTCCCTAGACACCAGATCGCTTGCAAAAATGTCGTAAAATACGGGAAAAAAGCGATTTCCAGTCGAAAATTTTGCTTTCTGAAGTGAGTTGAACATTTTTGACAAGAGGCCTTGTCAAAAACGGTCAGCTCACCTCGGAAAAACCTGAACATTTTTCTTTTAAAACACATTGAATTATATGTCATTCGACGCAGACTTTCATTCTGCATCTGAATATGTATAAATAAAGATTCCGCAGTGGATAGGAAAGGAGAAAACCTCCCAAAACTTCGGATTTTCCAAGGTTTACCTGAAAACATATTTCGAAAGTTACCTTGAATTCAGCCACTTTCGTCAACTAAAAGATTTTTCTGATTTAATAGCTCGATGCAGAATTCAATTTTCCATCGATCTCCGCTAACCGCAGATTTTTAACATTAAATTTCGATTTTTCAGAGTATTTTTCCGAAGTCCTCAACATTTCGCCTTTACAAACTTTTTCAGAAAACAATGAGACATGAACTAAAAAGAGAATTTTACGCGGATTTCAAATATCACCTTAGTCTTGAATGATGATCTTTCCTTCACTATGTGGCCGCAATTCTTTTTTTTCAATTTTTAAAATTATATAATTTATTTTTATTAATTTATTAAATTATTCATCTTCTTACTTCGTGAACAAACTGTTTCGATTGTTACGTCATCCTTTAGATACTATCAATGTTTATTTTCTTCTTTGAAAATATACGAGAGAGTGACACTTTTATATTTCTTTTTACTTTAATTTGATTTTTTCGTTTTTGTGTTTCACTTAACAGCATAAATGTTTGATTTTCTATACTTGAATTTTTTTTTAATATAATTTTATCTTTTTCTAATTCTAATGCATATTTAGCTATCTGTCGACAATATCTTGAAGCATAAGAATATTTTGTTGCTACAACTATAAAAATCGAAGCATGTATTACTAAACATTTTATTTTACTCTAAGATGTATTAATATCATCGTTATCATCATCCATTAACAATGCATAAATGGTGCATGTTTGTGGATTAATTAATTGTTTAACAGATTGTTCATCTTGGCTAGAATAGCAAAATAGAACAAATGGTTCTAAAATATTATAAAATGATAAATTTTTTGACAAAGTTAATGGTAATGTTTCATAAAGATTATGTAAAATACATTTAGCTATTTCAGCTACCAAATGGATCTGTTTCAGATAGTGAATGAAGAAGAAATATAAGAATACCATTTGATTTTAATTGTCTTTTTATTTGTTCATCATCAGAGTAGAATGTTATACTCCACAGAATTTTCATTAATGTTTCACATGCCAGTTTACCACGATCATCCCCATAAGTAATTGTACCATAGATTGATAATAAAGCATCAGAGAATACTTTTATTGAATCTGTTTTATCCTCTGGTAAAAATATTGATGCGTTAGATGACGATGTTAACGAAGAAATTGACGACGGCGATGATGATAGTGATGATGAATGACGCGTTGATGCTCGATCTATTTCAGATTCTTTGTCTGTTAAAAAATATTTAACAATAAAATTCGAGATAAATAGTCTCGCTAATACAGCCAATAATTCAGATAAATGAAAGCTACAATATATCAGTTTTTTACGTTTAATTAAGTTAGGGATCATCCGTTTCGGACGTTCAGGTAAAAGGTCGTATGTCGTCCTAGACATGAACAACGACAAAGCTCTTTTTGTATTGTCCTGATTCCTATTCCGAGCTTTTTTCAAAACCGCACCTTTTCTAGTTGCGAAAGAAATTTTCTCCATTTTTCAACAACATTGTCTCGGTCTTATTCATGTTTATTCCACTCATAGCGACTATTACAGATCCTTTCTTTTAGAAAATATACGACTTTCTTCGTTTCTAATACGATAGTTATAGGTCTGCTACTCACCCTCAAATTTTATTGTCGACAATATTTCTCTAAAAAACGCACACCTATAAACGACAAAAGGCGACAGGTTTTCAAAAACTTATTTCAAACCATTTTACACATAATTCAATGCAATATGGCAAGATAATTTCAAATACGCGCCTTTATTGTGATAAAAAAACGTCTTCTGAGATGATAAAAAGAGATTTGACGTGAAAAGTTGAAAATATTTGGAAACTAATCGGATAGCCGTAAAAAGATCTGCATGGATGTGTTTTCATGGGGAATGCAATATAGTTAGAAGAACAATTTGTAAAAGTTTGAGCTAGCGTATAAGAAGGCTAATCGTGACAGCCTTCCTATATTTTAAGTCTGCACAAGTTATATGACATAGAATTTTAACTATATTTTACATTTTATATTTTTATATATTTTATTACGTACACTGAAGAAGACCTCAATTAAAAGAGGTCGAAACGTTCGTTGGTTTTGTTTTTGTTAAATTTAAAATTTAAATAAAATTAAAATACGGAACTAAAGTATCTAACTTTAACTCTATTACTGAACAAATAGTTCTTGGAAGTATTGTTAGTGTAGAAAATAATTTTTTTTTCTTCAGAAAATAAAGTTCAAATTCGATAAAATGTTTTCACTAATTAGTTGGGATGTTCGGTTCTCGGTTCTGAAACCGAAATCGTGGTTCCGATTCTCGAGTTAAAATCGAAACGAAAAGAACCACGGTTCCGGTTTTTAACTTGAAACAGAACCACGGTTCTCGGTTCTCAGCTTAGAACCGGAAAATAAATTTTCAGTCAATAATAATTTAACGAATTACAATTCATTTATAGTAAACGAAAAAATTCTTTTAACGAAGACATCTCGCGAACTGTCACATCGCTCTTTCGGTCAACCTGGTAGGTTATACGTTATCAACTATGCTGAATCCGAATATAATAGTGGTAGCTCCCTAGGGACCTTGAGAGAGCGTTTTTGTGGATAACCGACCTCCAAAAGATCTTTAGCCATTTACCATCTCTCAGAAGCCGAATTTGCTATTAGACCAAGTGACAAAGTTCTTCATACTGTTGAACTCTAATACATATGTGCAAACCGGAAGAAGATAAAATATTTTTAGCGGTTTTTGTGCACACAATGAACATTGTCGATTTTAAACACATTTCTTTTCATTAAAATTATCAAAGTAATTAAGCTTAAGTCATTATTAACAGTCAAACTTCAATTAAGTTGAACGTTTCATATACCTTATACAATTCTCTTCATATTATACCAAAACTTTTTTATAGAACATATGGTTTAAGGCCAAAATTTCCACTTTGAATTAGGCATGTACCAGTTATTTTATCGCGGCTCTCGGGAGCCAGTGGTTTTTAAAATCTGAGAGAGTTTTTAAAATTTTTCGAGTCGGTAGTTTTGTGCACAAATGTTTGCTCTACAAAATAAGAGGTCACAGATCTTCTCACAATCATTTGTCGATGAGACACATCCCAGGACAATGAAAACGAGATGATAAATGGGTCGTTTATGACTCATTAATTAGTCATTAATTGCCAATTAATTGGCCATTTTTTGGTCATCAATGGTCATTTTTATATCATTTTTATCCCATAAACGGTCTCATTATTCGGTCGTAATTATACGACCGATAATACATCATTTTCACCTCATTTGTGAGGCATACATTAGTCATTTTTATCTCATTCGAATGGTATAATTATGACCGTAAAATGAGACTGTCGGCTGAATCAATTGTAGGAGTCGTTTTGCGGTCGTAATTACAGCATTCGGACGACGTAAAAATGGTCAAGTATGAACAATTAATGACGTAAAAACGAGGTATTTATGATCATTTATCTAGCAGAAACCTATTCTGTGCCTTAAATATTGTTCTTTCTTTGGACCCAATTTGGACCCATCCGATACAAAAAGAAAAGTGGAACATCTATCGAATAACTGATCCTGCTCTGCCGGTGAGATAGCCACTACGAACAGCCACAGTGACCTTGCGCAAATCTATCGTAGTCTGTACGATCGACGTCGACCAGGACCATCTTGATTCGACGAAAGTTTTACCACAGGGGAAAACCGGACATAAGAGATGTAATCGCTAGCACGGAGACAATCACTATTACTAGTGATTGACTCAATGACCCGGGGGACGTCTACCATCGCTGTGCGGTACTCTTCTCACGTCGACACTGAGGTCAACGGTAGCGATTACAAAGAATGAAAGAGTGGGCGTACGTACACACGCAAGACAAATACATGTATTACCAAATCGCAATTCAGTAATACAAGATACTAGCCTTGTACTGTGTACGCCTGGAGTCTTGAGAACTCAAACCCAAAAGAAAAGTTTTTCCTGGTTTTATAAAAACAATTTCAATCATTCTCCCTTAACAATGCAAACGAATATGAAAATGTAAAGTTCATTTTGATCAAAAGGGAAACGTCTGAGGATAAACATAATAGAAACGTATACGATACTTGTTTACCAATTCCCTTTCGGATACTGTTGAAGTTCATACTAGAGCATCCCGACTCGGTGCTGTTTTGTATTGTGTCCACATTAGTTAACCAACTGAGTGACTGACTAACCAAAAAAGAGGGAGGAGTTTAACACCGAGATACGACAATAAGCCGCGTCATTTCTCGGAACCATGATAGATCAACTATTGTCTTCGTTAGTGTCGGATTTCCTATTACAAGTTGAAAAGACAGTGAGCAACTGTGCTTCGCTTCGCCGAATATTCCGACTCTGTGCTTAACTTGAAAAGATATCAGCACAACAAAAATTTTAAATGAGGAAACAAAGAACAGGGTTACGACTACTCTTGCTGGAGTTCGCCTTTCTTGTGTGCCGTAGCATTGAGAAAATATTGACTTTTGCCTCGGGTGGATTGGAGAGCTGAAATTTTCAGCATACACTCCTAACTCAATTTGGAAGCGAACAGTGCAAAGGAAAAAGTTTCACAATGTGAACTGTAGAAAATAGAAATCACAGCCGGAGGGCCACAGGGTCGAAAAATCAATTTCATTCTTTTGACATGAAATTTCGTCAGGGTATCAGGACCACCAATACAAGGTTCCACAAAAAATTTCACCTTCCTATACCTTGTACTTCCCGAGATATTAATGTATCAATATTCCCAAAACACTGATTTTCTGTAACAGGTCAGTGTACAGACGGAAATTTTCACGGCCCTAGACCATGTCCTTCAAAAGTTATCGATGTTCCAATTTTAGCCTCATATCAATTTTAGCTCCCAGACCCGAGTAATCTCGAAAAATCATTCTCGTTACTGAGACGTGCAATTTTAGCTGAAGATCCAGGTTGCAAATATAAGGTTCCACAGAAAATTTCACGGCTCTAGACTATGTTCTTCAAAAGTTATGATGTGGAAATATTGTGACTAACGCTAAATGATAGAGCTTTTAAAGCGCTACAATATGGCCAGTTTTCTTTTCTTATGCGGCAAAATGCCAGTGAGTACAACAAAGGAGAAATGTTTTATTTGCCAGAAAGTTGGACATATTGGAGATTCACACTATTCTTTTGTTCAATATTTCATATTGACATTTGAAATCAGGCATTCTTATATACTTTTGTAGAGAATTTCACGGCGCATCTTTCGGTGAAAAAATTGGTAGAAACAGTTTTGACTGTATTGATAAAAATCGAAAATACAAATTCATCCATTTATTCTGGACCACTCGATATAAAATTCAGTTTTGTATCTCTTGGGGTTTGAGCTGTACCGCCTGGAAAAACATTTTTTTCCAACCCTATACGTTCAAGTGTCCTCTATCAAATGTCACAGAAACGAAAAGTTTTTATTGTTATTTAGATCCTGAAAAAAATTTGGTGTTCGCTACTCTCTATCTAAAAACACACGTTGTAAAGCCCTTGCGGGTAGCTAATCATCTATACTAAAAAATAGTTATTTAATCTCCAAAATGTGATATGAGGGCCACCGATGTGCTCCCATAATCACTGTACAAGTGCAATAGTTGATAACTTTACATCGAAAAATAAAATGTCGGATGTATCGTAAAAAACAGTGTTTTTCGTTTTTCTCGAAATCAACTTTTCGCTGGAGGGAAAACACTGATTTCTGATATCAGACACGACCAAAAGTCACTAGAAATCAAATAAATCAAGAAATAAGTTTTTTCCCTTGTCTCAGATTCGAATTCCTCGACCCATAAAACCTATGGTCAAACTTATGAGCAATTCATGAAATGTCTACGTGTTTACTTACACAATAATTGGTAACCTGGAACGACCGAATCCAGATAGTTCGGTATCAGCGCATGACTAATCTGGGTGAGAACATGCCTTAAAAAGCCTTCTGGTTCGACATGAGAACGATTTTGATCATATAAGCACTTCAAAAAAGAAAAGGAATGAAGATCGAAACCCCCGACTTATTTAAAGGTAAATGGGTTACATCGGTGCCATCACTCTACCCATTCAGTTCTGTTCTGTACCGGACATGATGCTTTGATTCTACTAATTAAAATTGTATGATTATAATCGACGAAAAATTTGATTTTTTGCTAAAACTTTTTACATGGGTATCCTCATCATCCACATCGTTATCACTTTCAATATCACACTTACTTGGAATGGCTCATCAGATGATTATCAACTATCCTAATGAAGTAGAACTTTCAAGAATGATCGCGGAGAATATTATTTAACCCTTTCGCGGCGATTCGATTTTCTTAGAAAATAGGGGTAACAGATTCATTTTAATATGTATTCACTTTTCCGATAATGCTCTCGTTGGCGTTTTCAGTATGTGCTGCAAGTTGTTTTTTCTTTTTCTTGTTTGCATTATTACATAGGCGGTCCTCTTTCACATTGAACTAAATAATTACTCCCAAGTTTAGTTTTTTCTTTCTTACATGTATTACGCAGTGGGAACGAGATAATGAAACGAAATTCAGTTGTTTTTCTTTAGTATTCTTTTCATAGCATTATCTGAGACTGTTCCTCTGGCGTTTCAACTCGGAAATGTTTGAAGAACGTTTTTGAATTCGTGTTACTCAGTTCTTACTGTACATCTTCATCTTTTCAACTTTTAACAAGTAGGGAATAAGAGCATTTACCTTTGCCTCTCACTTTAGGTGATGGTTAAGTGGCCAACACAAAAAATCTTGGTTCTCTGATTTCTCCTAAAGGTAAAAGTCTTATTAACGAATCTGATTTTTCTCTGACTTTTCCATTACTCATAAAAAGTTAAGGAAAGCAGCCCATTTTCGATTCTTAGTAGATTTTATATACTAAAACGGTTTACGAAGAGACCTTTTCTGTTCCCGAAAACACTTTTTATGTTCCCAAAGCTCTTTTCAAAATAGAACGATTTCTGGAAGTTCGGAAACCAGAAAGGTGTTGTCGGAAGCCCTGACAAAATTTGTTGATGACTAAGCTGCACTAACGAGGGAAGAACACTAACTGATAAATCGCTTTTTGCATCTACAGTTATAAGTTATCGACCACGCTGATTTCGAATATCCATTTGAGACGGGCTGCCCGGCCTTCCTACAGCGGTTTACTAGAAAATCAGTTTTCCAGAAACTCCAAAACAGCTCCGAAACTTTCTCTTAATAGATCCCATTCATCAACAAGTTCAAAAAAAAGAGGTTTATCTTTTTCGGATCCTGAGTACAAGTTGAAAAGTCGTAAAGAAATTAATTCCAACATATTCTTCATATTTTCTTGTTTGTCTAGATCTGTGACTATTGATGTCATTTTTGATGTGCTGAATTTCACTATTTGTAAAGTTGTCTTGGCTGCGGGTAATGTTTCTTCAACAACCGTGTATACATTCTTAATTAGTTTTCCTTTGAATATTATTCAAAACTACCAGGGCTTTATATTTGTTCATTTAATCAATATATTTCATCTTCATTTCATTTTTTCCTTTCTTTTTCCAATTTCATTTTTACAAAATCACTTTGTAGATGTTTTATTACCTCCCAAATCGATTCAATTATTTCTCTTGACCCCATTGTTGTTTGATTCGAATTTAACCGCGGCCACGTATTATAATCATTACGTTTACACATACTCAAAAATAGGTCATCGGCGAGGGCTCGACGCCTCGAAAAATGGCACTTCAGACCCTCGAATTAAGCTTTCGTGGAGTATCGATTTCGAGCCCTGGATTTCAGATAGTCAGCGAGCCCTCGAGACAAATTTCGAGCCGTCGAATAGAGATTTTCGAGACTTTCGAGCCCTCGCTCTCTCGAGGGTGCAATGAGGGGTCGGAGGACCCCGGAAGCCGACGAGGGCTTGGAAATACCCCTCTAAAGCTTAAATCGAGGGCCCGAAGTGTCATTTTCTGGGGACTCGAGATCAGAGCGAAGGCCCATCGAAAGTATATTTCCGATCACTGGAAGTATCCCTAGAATAACTGGTCTTTTTCGCCCCATCTTTCGAATTTTGCAATTTTGGTATACATACAAATTTAATCTATGGAAGTAAATTGTCGACAGCATAGTGAATTAGATGTGAGGAAATTTGAATTCGTTCATCTGAGTCATTTCGAGCATCATGTTGTGAAGATTTGGATCCTCTAGTGGCTAACTCTAATCGTAGAAGTGAAGCTATAGTGAGAATCAACTCTCACTCCGATATTTTTATTTGAAGCAAATGAACGGCTATTATAGGGTTAATCCATAAGGAATATACCATCATTCCAGCGGCTAGTTACGCCAGCGGCGTAATAAAAATTGCTAGATGCAGTTCTGGACGCTGAGTTCAATGGTGAAAACTGCAGCTCTCTATCTTTTTCTTAAAAAAATACTGTCCCAGCGAAAAATGGCATTTTTCTTCATTTTCCAGCCGAAATGACCTATGTTGCAAAGCTTGGTGTAACTAGAGGACATGTCGTAGAACCTTCATTCTAGTCTCAAATGAAAAAGCGAAGTGAGTTCTATACATTTCAGTAGAAAGAACTCGTGCCGGTTCACACCATCTAGGCGAAAAGGCTTCTGGAAATCCAGAGGGCTCTCAAGCAATTCTCTCTTATTATTGCGAGTCAAAACCGATGAAAATCACTTTTTATGTTATTTTTAGCGCAGAATCCAGATCTGACACCAAGACACTTGTGCGAGAATATGTGGGACTTCTAGAAAACTCGTGAGGTTTTGATAGGTTTTCGGAGATTTCACGGGGTTTCACTATCGTATACGAAAAGTATGTCTTCTGCTTCTTTCTTAAATAGTTTGTCGGCACTAAGAAAACCAGTGCGGCTTTGAGACGTGGCACTCTCTCTCTCTCTCGGACTTTTTATCAGTCCGGTCTGGATGAAAGTCTTATGAAAAGATAAGCGATAGGAAGAGAAAGTGGGAGCGCGGCACCTTTCATTACGGAGAAAATTCAGTTTTGCTTCTTTATTCTACCTAAAGTTTTCGGCATTTTATCGAGGGGCAACTGATAGTGTTAATTTAGTAATGTTAGAAAATAAATATAAATAAACGGAAAAAAAATCATCTTTATTCCTTTACTTACCTTTATTTTTAAAATTACAGGCAAAAGGTAAATGTTGCGCAACACTTGTGTCATTCTGTGATGTTCCTAACTGTTTCTGTTCTTATGTAACTCATGAGCAACTCTTGTAAAGCTCTTGTTTAGCTGGCCAGTTGGCCGTTGGTACCTGTGGCAAGTCCTCGACCTCGAGTGGCCTCCTTTCCAAGAGGCGTTCCTGAAACGGTCTCCTCCACGAGTGGCCAACTCTGCTCAACGCGCCCGAGCGCAAACAGGGCGAAACAGAGAGTTTCATTCTCTACTACGAGGATAAGATGAAGCTCATGAAGCTGTACGACGAATACATGTCCCACGCAAAACAAGTCGAATGGCTGTAGGGTGGAATGTGGCATAAAACACAAGCTCTCCTCGATCTTGTTCTTCAAGCTGAAGTGGATCGCAGTATCGTTGAGATATGGCAGGATTTCCTTTGGGTTTTTCACGACGTCGATGTTGGGGAGTTTGCACATTCGTTCCAGAAGGAGAAGCCATTCTTTGGGACCTTGTGAACCATCACCAGAAAATTTTGGCATACCTTTCATGCGATCGGTCGTCATGGCTGTTGGTTGTGGAGTGTCTTTCTTCGCGTTCTTGAGCGCTATTCTCTTAGCGCGATCGTCGTCTTGTGCTTGCTTTTGAGCCGGTGTGAATTTTGCGTAGGGATCCGTTGCTTATCGCGATGTCGCATTGACGACAAGTCGGCTAGTGCACCAATTGTCAAGAGTTGGATCCTCTGGTGGCTAACTCTAATCGTAGAAGTGAAGCTATAGTGAGAATCAACTCTCACTCCGATATTTTTATTTGAAGCAAATGAACGGCTATATATAGTACAAAGTTAAACAAGAGTTTTACAAGAGTTGCTCATGAGTTACATAAGAACAGAAACAGTTAGGAACATCACAGAATGACGCAAGTGTTGCGCAAGAACAGAAAGAGTTGGGAAAATACACTGCGGAAGGAAACGAAAACGAAAGAATGATACAAGAGTTGCGCAAGAATGGTACAAGAGTAGAATTGAGTGAGAATGAACCTTATGAGCTGCCGGGGAAGGCAGATCATAACACACGTGATACTTGAGGAATAGACGTTCGACTATTATCATTCCTATTATTTCCTTTATTCACTGCCGAATTGCTAAAAATTCGGCATAGCTTTATATGATAGGTGAATAACTCAAATTCAAGCACTATCGGTGAAGATACAGGTAAGAAATTCTTCACAGTTTAAGCTCGTTGATACAATGCAAAACGGAAAGACTCGATCAAACCGTCGAAAAAAATGAAAAAATTTTGATAACTTTTGACTTTGTTTTTGCTAGCCACGCTTGTTTCATCGAGTTGCAACCTCTGAAAAGTACATGAAAAAGCTAACATAAAAATTGCCTACGTTAAATTGTTGAATAATATTTGGCTATTAGTGAGTTTAGGTTCTCGACCTCTGTATGAGTCCGAGGCGAGAAGGTAAGTGCTGTAAGAGTGTAGGTATTTTTACATCTAAGAGTCTAGTCATTGCACGAGAACCGTGACAAGCAATACTCAGGGACTCTCACAGACCTTGATGTCGTCAGATATAGATCTATTCCAGACAGAAATAGCCTGCGAGTGCCGTTTTAAACAAGCGTTTCGTTTATGAGTTCGAAGCTTCTGAAATTAGGTGCCACTAGGGCTGTTAATGTAGTTTTATTGTTCGTTTATAATAATGGATACATATACATGAATCATTTATATTTAAAAACTGAAGCAAAGAAATGAAAAATAATTTATTATGTAAAAGATAACGATAAATGATGTATCTATCTTTATAAAATAAAGATTTACCTTTTGCCTGTAATTTTAAAAATAAAGGTAAGTAAAGGAATAAAGATGATTTTTTTTCCGTTTATTTATATTTATTTTCTAACATTACTAAATTAACACTATCAGTTGCCCCTCGATAAAATGCCGAAAACTTTAGGTAGAATAAAGAAGCAAAACTGAATTTTCTGCGTAATGAAAGGTGCCGCGCTCCCACTTTCTCTTCCTATCGCTTATCTTTTCATAAGACTTTCATCCAGACCGGACTGATAAAAAACACCGCATCTGTAACAATCCGCTGCTAAAGAATCTTCTATCTCCTCGGTTTTACACGAAGAAAGACATATATTTCAGATATATTCACCATCCCAAGCAATGGCAACATTTATAAGCGACCAAAATACGCCTGTCTGGCCAGCAAAAGAAGAGGAACACTACTTTCGTGACCTTGTCATCCATCCAATCCGTCAAAAAGGTCCCACCTGTGTGTCCACTTGTCTGGCCATGCTTACCGGCAAGAGACCCAAAGATTTTCAAGGTAATATAAACACACAAGATCCTGTTTCCTGGTCAGCTGCCCTGCAGCCATATGGAAAGAAATTAGCCTATTGTCCCCACGATGCGCGCAAACTGAAGTTTTACATCGAAGAACTGATCGCCTTAGATGATTTATTCGTCCTCAGCTTCTATACCAGTCTGGATCCAGAGGAAATCTTGGCCGATGCTGATAATACTGGCTATGTTACTCAATTGCATCTTATACTGCTACATCGGGACAAGATCTATGATTCAACGCATTTTCAATACGATCTAGCACGTGAACATCGCTGTGTCAATTATCACACCAAGCGCATTTTCCGAGTTCTACCCGTCACACATGCTCGTGGTCTTTGAGCCTGGGCAGCTCACATGAGAACGAGCAAAAGACAAGAAGTTTCGCGCCGTTTTTCAGTTATCTGTTCATTAAAATACAATCTATTCAGCTTACAATAAACCAGTGATGCTTTCTCATGCAAGGAAAGAAAATATATAATCTATTTCACAAAACAACTAACGAGGGAACCTATCCAACTGTCGGACGCCGTTTGACTCCATATTTTGGCTATAAGTAGGACTCAGTGAGACTAAGAAAATCCTAAAAGGGTTCGGGCCCATGACTCTTGAAGATCTCGTTTT